CCTGCCATAAAAGATGTTATAAGCAAACGACCCTTTAAATCTGCTGATGAAATGTGTTTGTAACCAGTGCAACTTGTGCGTTCACATGCGCAGGCCAAAACATTTTGATTACTGTTTTTGCCACAGTATTCTGGAGCAGGGGGCTCCAACCTTGGCCACTTTAAGCCTGGAGGACTTCAATTCCCAAAATTCTCCAGCTAGCTTTGCTGGAAGCTGGAGAACCCTGTTCTAGAGCAGCTGTACCTTCTAGTAGTTTTTAAGTTAACCATATTGCATAGTCCAGGGGTGTCAAACTCATGTCGTCATGGCGGTGTCACGTGACATATCAGGACATTTTTCCCCTTTGCTAAACCAGGCGTGGGTCACATTCGGCCCAGGGACCGTGAGTTTTGACACCCTTGGTATAGTCTAATTATAAGGTGCTCAGAGCATAAGTGACTGCAGGGCCTTCCAGTCCAGGAAGGGATACAACTGGTATATTGAAGAGCTGAACCAAATCCCTCATGGGTTGTGTCACCTGTTCTTGGAGTGGCAGCTGTGAGTCCAGGAAGAGCCCCTCAGCTGAGCTGTCCACCAGATCTTCAGTGAACATCCCGTGTTTCATTTATTAATTGCCTGGGATGATTAAACGGCCACTATATCTTCCCATATGGTGGTTGTGATAGGGTGATGTAAAGAGTTGGGAAGTAATTCAGTGGCAGCGAACTGATGACAGTAGCTTCCTGTGCCAAATCACATTGCAACCACCCATAGACAAAATATAGATTTCAACTCCTGGAATATATCAGGCCTTCCCTGACCTGGAATAAGTCAGCCATGGTCTCCTGAACTTCATGGACTCAATATGGCATCAAATTGAAATTCCCAAGAAGTAAAAAAATCTTCGGGTCTCTGGTCATGAAATCCAGCAGATCAGGAAGGGACGTTGCTAAGAAGTAGGGAGAGTCATACACCAACAACTAACTCATCTATTCTCTGAAGCTCAATTTTATCCAGAGCGTTGTTCCGCAGATGAGAGCCTTGCAAGAGCCCTTAGCGATTAAGGGTGACACAGTCATCTTAATCTCCCAGTCTTAGACTCTTGACTGATGAGTCCGGCCAACTTGAAACCAAAGGGGGACTTAATTCTGAGAGGGGACCCTTCCCTAGGCCATCCATCTTGTTCAAACAAGCTTCATGGGTAAAGGGCGTTTTCAAGTTCAAACAGGTCTTTGATTCTACTTTGATAAATTTGCTTGTGAAAAATAAACGATTCAAAAGAAGTTTGGTGTTGTTAAATGATTGGGTGTCATTTGCAGCTTCTGGTTGTCTTCATTTCTCTCTAGTTTCTGCTTTTTTCACCTCCAGGGCTACTCTTGGGAATACCCAAATGGCTCCTGGAGAATAGTAACTAAAAGTAACCATTTGTCCAGAATGGTATGTGGCAGGGGTGTCAAATTTGTGTCGTCATCGCGGTGTCACGTGACATATTGCAATTTCCGGTGTGTGTGTGTGTCACTAAACTGGGTGTGATTGTGGCCAGTGGGTGATAAACCTGGGCCGCAAGTTTGACACCCTTGGTATAGGGTCTCATACTTGAACAGGGGGTTGGACTAGAAGATCTCCAAGGTCCCTTACAACTTTATTAAGTGTAACTTGATTTGCCTTTTGTTGACTTTAAGCAAGATGGCAATCTCTCCGCTGAGTCTTCTGTATTCTCCAAAAAAAGAGATGATAATCCTGCCAATATTTCTTTTTTACTCTGGATATCTTAGATGATACTTGCCCAATGTGGGATTCAAGGATTGAACCAAGAATTCTCACGGGGCGCCTTGCTTTATTATTGCCGTGCTTAATTTAGCTTCAAGGTGTGATTTCACGTAACTTCAGACTATCCCTTTTGGCGGTCTTTGCTGACTGATAGCTATAAGAAGGATTGAAATAATATAATTGACTACTTATTGATTATTCTGTATGTAACATGATTGTATCATATTCATATATATTTTATATCCCACCTTTATTTTTATAAATGACTCAAGGTGGTGAAGATTTCTAATACTCCTTCCTCCTCCTATTTTCCCCACAACCTTGTGAGATGATTGGGATGAGAGAGTGACAGACTCAAAGTTTCCCAGCCAACTTTCATGGCTAAGGTGGGACTAGAATTCATAATCTCCTGGTTTCTAGCCTGCTGCCTTAACCACCAGACCAGGGTCTGCAACCTTAAACACTCAAGTTGGACCCGTTTTCCCACAGAAAAGTAAACACCAGGAGCCAATCATTTAACACCTGTTGTGACTGGGTGGGCGTGGCCAACTCGTCATTCACTCCCACCCAGCCACCACCTGCTCTGGAATAGGGAGCGAGCCTCCATCCCCCACCATCCCCCTTACCTTCTCATGCCAGGTGAGGAGTGATGGGGGAGGGGACAGCTGGTGGTGGGATCAGCCGATAGGGAGCGGCAGCAGAGGGCCAAAAGAGCCACATGTGGCTCCGGAGCCCCAGGTTGCAGACCCCAGCACCAGGCCAAGCAATTTGGAGTAAAGTAGCAATACCTTTCCTTCCTTCTCTCCTAGTCAGGAGAGGTCCTCATGAACGTCAAAGAACATACAAAGCAGATCAATGACATCCAGACTTCCAGAGATATGACAATGTTTGTCACTGCCTCCAAGGATAACACTGCCAAGGTGAGTCGCTCTTGCTTGCTTGCTTGCTGCAAAGGGTGGTTCCTATGATTGACCTGCATTTTTCAGTTATCTCTCCTGGGAAGAGGGGTTGCTTAAACAAGCTAGCTCTTCCTGTTACTTTTGCAAGTTTTGAGATAATAAATTGTTTTGCTCTAACCCTCAATCAGATCATTATTTCGCTCTTTGGTGGTAATTTTGATTAATATCTAACCACCTTTTACTGATGCCTAAACTGATCAGCTCCAGAGGTGGAGAAGGAAAGAGAAGTGGGAGGACCATAAAATCTGGTCCCCTTTCATGACTGGAATTTCAGAGCAGTCGTTAGGGCTCAGTCAGCAAATTGAGGATGGGCCTCTTGGCTGGAGACAATTTCTTAATACGTTTTCTTTAAAACACTCATTGCCATGCTGGCATCCTTCCTACAAATTGTAAATGCCAGATTTTTTCAACTGCTGAATGCAAGTTTTTTCAACTCTCACCGGAACTCAGGAAGGGTTTGGTTTTGTTTCTGTTTTTGATTTCCTGGGCTTACTCTAGTTGCCTTGTTCAGCTTCCAAACAGTGTTTTGTTGGGGCAACTGCTGTTCACAGGACTGGTAAGTGGCTGTGTTGTGCTGCTTGGGACCGGTGCTGTAACTGGCATTTTTCAGATGATACTGGGGAAGTTTAGTGTCTCCCTCCAAAAAAACCCTGAAAGATCTATTTCTCTTGCAGCTTTTCGATTCCACAAATCTTGACCACCTAAAGACGTTCCGAACAGAACGGCCGGTGAATTCCGCAGCACTTTCCCCCATCTTTGATCATGTATGTTGGTGGGCAACCTGTTGAGGTCCCCCCCCCTTATATTCCCCTTATATATTTGTGAGATCTCCTTATGGTGAGAATTGTATGACTGTTGTGTGGGTAAGTATACAAAGATAAGTTTATCTGTGAGATGGAAGCGTCTGTGTGTTTGCTTCTGGATGCTTTGTTTCTTGGCAGCTTCTCTCATCTCTGCTCGATTGCTATACAGGAAATGGGAAAACATTGGGAAATCAAATGACAAGGTTCTGAACTCAGCAAATGAGCAAAGTTTCCTTAGAGAGAGGCAACCATATTTTAAGCCATTACACTAAGCTGATCTGTTGGTATATTCTCTCCTAATCAAAGGAATGTAAAGTGGATGCCATGCCCTTGTTGGAGTCTGATTCTGAGGGGGAGATTGAGCAGCTGAAACGGGGGAAGGGCACAGTCCGGCATGGCATTCAGAGGAAGACCCAGGACCATCCCCTCTTCATCCTAGGGCACGCAGGGAGGAATGGAGAAGGGAGCAACGTGGCTTATGGGAGAGAAAAAGGCCCTGATCCCTTTCATTAGTTGCAGCTGGGAGAACAAGATATAAGTGGGGCGTTTGCACACAGCTCCTTGCTGGAAGCAAAGCGTGCATTATCTTTGTTGAGGTTTATCTGAGTTTTGACATCCTCCCAACTGTGGGTGCTGCGTTATCCTTTGGAAGTCTGCAATTTATCATCCTGGCCTGCCGTGTTAATTACTTCAGTGTGGTCTGTGTTGGTTTTTTTATTTCCAATTATCTTTACTTTGGGTTCGGACTGCATTTACTCCCTTAGTAGACTTTCTTTAAGAGTTTGATATCTAGCTGAGGATAATTGGACATTGGGGCCAAGTTGGAGGCATTAAAGGGAATTTATTCTACTTTTGTGACTTCGTTATTTTTGTGTCACGCCCCGGGTCATCACAGTGGATCTCATCCAGTTTATTTTTCTTCTGGCAGGTGGTGTTAGGTGGTGGGCAGGAAGCCATGGATGTGACAACCACCTCCACCAGAATTGGAAAGTTTGAGGCCAGGTGAGCTTGTTTTCTCCCCTGGTAATGAGGCATCGATTCACCCTCTTGCTGCATTCCCATGAAACCCAACTCTGGTTTCAAAAGACAAGCAAGTTACGCTGAAGAGTTGCCCAGTGTTCATTTCTAACGGTGTCTATCTCTCTATCTTGCTTATGGTTCTAGATTTTTCCACCTGGGCGTCGAGGAAGAGTTTGGAAGGGTCAAAGGCCACTTTGGGCCAATTAATAGCGTTGCTTTCCACCCTGATGGGAAGAGGTAAGCGTCACGGGTACTTCTGGTTTCATCAAGACTGGGACCAAGAGCCCAAGGAATTTCACTCCTTTTTTTTTTTTCTGCTTCTAGTTACAGCAGTGGCGGAGAGGATGGCTACGTCCGCATCCATTACTTTGACCCCCAATACTTTGAATTCGAGTTTGAAGCCTGATCCAGCTATTTCCTTGTCCTCTGGTGCCTCTCTGCAGTTCCCGCAGGATGGAAATCTTGCTTGTCCTGAGCGATGCTTAAGGGCCAAATGGATGGTCTGCTGCAGCGGCCGCTTCTCTGTGGGACAATCTCTCTACTTGTACACTCTTGGAACAGCTGCAGTTGCCCTATTTATAATGTGAGACGCAGATAATAAATTCTTCCTTTATAACATGAAAAGAAATATGTATGAACGTGTTAATTGGGTACAGGTAATTGCTATTTTTAATACTGTTTCCATCATGTGTATGATTCGTTGGCTTCGGTGTCATCATCAGGGGTTTCCATATTGGGGGTTTTGCTAAGTAAAGCCCAAGTTCTACATCCTCCAGGATTTACAGGATATTGTGAAATTATTGGATCAGTTTATTGGGTTAGAGCAGCATTTTTCAACCTTAACAACTTTAGGTAAAGTAGACTTCAACTTGCAGAATTCCCCATCCAGCACAGATTAGGCTTCAACTAATATTTAACATTTAAAATGCTTAGCCATGTCAGCTTTATTGTCCAAGCATAGCTATTGGCTCCAAATTGGGGTGCTACATGTGAGTATCCAGATGACTTTCTCATTCCAGGAAGATTTTATCTTGTGTTCTGCATTTCCTTGATCTAAAACTTAGATTTAAAGAGCTGTATTTTATTTGTAACAGTAAAAAAAAAAAGGCTTGGGAAATACACCTACATGTTCACAGTCTTTTCAGTGCCACAGACGAAGTGTTTGTTTCTGTCCTTCTGTGTCAGCAACTCTTCCTCTGTTTTTTCAAGTCTCCCCTTTTGGGGTGACCAGCCAATTTGACTTCTTCATTTAAAAAGAGGGCGTGGCAGTGTGCAACTGTGGTGAATAGGTTTGGCTACTTGTTGCTATTTGCCGAATTTCTGCCCATGCTTCATCAAGATGGTGGGATGAATGGACCCAGCGGAGAAATAAGCCTGCATGGAGAATAATGCCCAGTTATCCATCTCTTTCACAAGGACAAACAGTAATCTTTTATATCTTTGCAGCAATTCTTTATAAAGAACCTCACAGTAAACTAACTTAGCTTCCAGCCCCAACATCTTGGGTGCGTGTGTGTGTGTGTAGTCAAATCTTTCAGTACCCCAGAAGAACTGGGGCTGATAATGACACTGCTTATTTTTACATTTAAGACGTAAAAAAGATATTTAGATATCCCTCAAATCTGCAGGCTTACAAATATACCGTATTTAGCAGAAGATTGAAATTCTCACTCTGAAATCTAGATATAGAGAGCTTTAAAGAGAAGTCCTCTGAAGATCCAGGATTTGATCAAATGGTTAGGCATGTTTTTTATAAGTGAACTTATATATCTCTTTCTACCATCAGATGTGATTTGGAATATTTGCTGATGTTCAGACAGTTGAAATTCTTGAAACTGTTAGGTTTTTAGTAAGGTGGATTCCGTATTACAGGCAGTCCTTGACTTGCATCCGTTCAATTAGAGACATTTGAAATTACGATATCTCTGAAAAAAGATACGACAGTTTTTTGTACTTATGAATATTGTGACTCTGCAGCCACATAATCATAATTTGGTTTTGTATCCCTGGAGTCACATAATCATGATATGGGTGCTTGGCAACTGGCATGTATTTACAACGGTTGCAGTGTCCTAGGGTCAGGTAATCATAATCTCTGACTCCCAGTCAGCTGACAAGCAAATTAATGGGGAAGCAACAGGAAAAGTGACACGTTGTCTTGCTTAATAACAAAATTTCTGGTCTCTATTTTAGTCATAAGGCAAGGGCTCTACGAAATTCTGCAATGCATATGTTCGGATATCTTCCAGCCCTCTTAAAAATCTCTGGAATTATCGCCTCAGCCTTAGCAAACTCATGTTGATGAAGATTCTTACAAAAGTGAGGCTTCTCTTTTTTGTTGTTGTTGGTTTGAGATGTTTCACTGCTTATCCACAGCTCATACTCAGCTTCAGCCTGAGCAAGTTGCTTAGGGGAATCTGAACAGGCAGAGAGCCGTTGAAATGTATCAACTCCTCCCGCACTAACCTCAGGTTTCCTCCTCAAAGTAGGGAACGTCTGAAACCAACAAAAAAAAAAAAAGTCCAGCTGCCATGATTCAACTCAGACAACTTTACCTGGATGACTGAAAGTCTTCCTCAAACTATTACCATGCACTTTGGTGGGGGAAGAAACCTCTGAGGTTGGTGCAGGAGGAGTTGCCAACGACTCCGCGTAACCAACTTGCTCGGACTCATGAAGCTGCTTTGATGAGCAGAAAATGCCTCCAATTAACAAGAAAAATTCCGTCGCCATGACTCAAACTTCCAGGCTGAGCAAACCACCTGGCCGATGTTGGCCTATGAAACTCTGAAACCTGAAAAGGCTTAATTTAATCCAGATTATGATGTCTTTCTCATGCAAGTGCTTTGTTCCAAAACTCCTAATGTGAGTTTGTACTTTACACGATAAAGAAGGAAGGGCGGGTGGTCTCCCTACCTTGCCAGAGCACCAAGCTCTGTGGCTCCACGGAGGGCCAGATGGCCAGGGGGTTGTACACGTAGAGGGGATTCAGGAACTTCTCCACGTGGTTTATCCAGGGCCAGAGGCAGTGGGTCTTCTCCCTCATTTCACACAACCGCCTGCAGGGAAGCCAGCAGCATTTTAGTCCCTCGCTCGGGTAGGCACGGAGCACTGACTTTCAGCCTGGGCAACTTGGAGATTCCCAGAGGTCTCTAGCCAACTTCCCAATCGCATCCAACCAGGAGCCCGCCATGTTAGGGAAGGAATACAACATTAATCCGATACGGGGGACAAATGCTCCACAAAAATACAATTGGATATTTGGGGAAGACTTGACAAAGCAAATGAAATCTAACATTTTTGGATTCCCCACCCCCCCCTTCTTTGAGGTGTCCTCTCTTGTGGGCAGAACTTGATTCAAACGGGGTCGTTGGAGATGTAAAAGCATGAAATAATTACAGGTATAGATGCTCCTTAACTTACAAACATTAGTTTCAAAGTTACAACAGCACTCAAAAGTGTGTTCGAATCAGCCAGGGGTGGGGATGCTACTGGTTCTGCCTGGTTCTAAAGAACCAGTAGCTCTGAAGAGCAGCAGACACCAAACCAGTTCTGCTGTTTGCCGCTGTTTGACCTGCCTGCCTGCTTGCCCACCCGGGCTCTTACCTGACCTTTATTTCGTGCTTTTTCGACCTCAGCTGCTTTGCGCGGCACAGACGAAGTTGAAAAAGCAGGAAAAAAGAGGATTTTCAAACTGCACACAGTGCTTTTCAGCTGTCTGGGCAGCACAGCTTAGGGTCTTTTTACACGCGCACCTAGCAAAACATAGTCACCGAACTGGTAGTAACACTGGTTGAATCTCACCCCTGGAACCAGCCCTCACTTTTATGACAGCTGCATCATCACTGCGGTCATGTGATCAAAATTTAGGCACTTAGCAACTGGCATGTATTTATGATACTTGCAGTTTCCTGGGATCATGTGATTGACAGTTGTGACATTCCCAGCTGCTTCTGACAAGCAAGATCAACGGGGAAGTCTGGTTCGCTTAACAACCACATGATTCACTTAACTAGTGATACTCTTGATGGTGGAGAAAAGGTTGTAAAATCGGGTGCGACTCACTTAACAATCACCTTGCTCAGCCACCGAAATTCTGATTCCAGTTCTCATGAGTCGAGAACTACCTGCACATTTCCCCTCAGTAGCCATAGTTGACTCGGATCAATAAACCAGGATTAGACATTGCTTTTTATGAATAGGGCTCCAAGCTACAAGAAAGACTAGCCAGCCTGGATTTGTTTTTATTTAATGCTGTCTTGAACTGGAGCAACAAGCAAGGAGCTTCGGTAGGGATGTCCACAAATTCTGGTGGAAAAAAGTCAACATGGTGACCATAAAGGTATGATTGTAGCTCCGACTGCAGTAGACATGTACACAAACAGGTGAGCTTTGATCCCACTGCTGTGACTGCCATCTTGACCACACACTGCAGGTGTTAACTCATAAAATATTTCTATGGTCCTTTTAGAGCTGCCAACAGAAAGGGAGAGGGGAGCAGTGGGCGGCTTGCATTCCATAAATGTTTTCAAAGATAGTTTCTAGTTGATGGAAGTTTCTGCTGCGCAAAATTCTAACTGGAGAGTATGATGAATGGCTCTTGGCTATGGATACGTCCCATTGGAGAATATGAATTACGATCCACCCAGTGGGTGGGGGAAAACCAGGGTCAAGGGTGACAATGAATGATGCGTCACAAGGTCGGCTCCACGCAGGTGGTGCCAGCATGTTTACGGCTAATAAATAAGTTTTGGAAGTTCAGCAAGAGACTCATGATTTAAATGGGGGTAACTGACAGCAGGTTCCTTTGAACCCTGGTTCTGTGGATCCCTCACCCGAGTGTTTTTATCACAGTTTGTTTAGCTATTTCCGTGGTAGAAGTCATGAGAACCATCCGCCAGGAGGCTCTGAAACCTTGGTGTTCCCTTCCCTGCAAAAATGGCTGCTGTGAGGTAGAAACCGTTCCACTTCCCCAGGTTGATTTTCTCCTCGAGAACATCGTGTCCTGGTGTTAAATCCTGTGCAACTCATTTCTTGAAAGTGTAGGGAGAGTTCTCGTGGGGGGTGGGGGGGTTGCTTAGGGTATCGTGTGATTTCTAAGATTGCAGATTTCTTCACCCAAAGATATTTGAAGAGGCCAAATTAAGTACAAGGCCATCTCTCCCCGTGTCTTTCAAGTCTGGAGGCAGAGTCTTCACTGGCAGAAAATGCCCCAGTCCTCAGTGGGAATCTTGGAGTCATCTTAGTTTCACCCTGTTCTCCCAAGCTGGCACCCTCAACCCTGACGGCCCCTGCCTTGGCCTGCGCCTGTTTTACCTTTCTTTCTCATTGTTGCCCAAGAACGTGCTGTAGGGAGAGGCGTAGCAATGTTCAAAGAGTGCCAGCAGGAGATGCTCGTTGAATGCCAGGGAGAAGGGAAACTGGCGCCCCAGTTGCCAGACACAGTCAAGGAAAAGGAGAAAGGTGGGCGCCTCTTGCTTGAGCCGGGTGTGCGCATAGGCAGAGTGGGCACAGCGGAGCTGGAAGGGGTGCCCGGCCTGTAAGAGCAAAAAGGTTGGCAGCTAGAAGCAGAAAAGGGTATTTCTGCTCCTTCCACACGTCTACCAGTAACATGCGGGGGGAGGGAAGGGCAGGAGACAATGCTTTCAACAAGAATCAAAATTCAATGAAGTCAAAGAACCCCCTAAATATCAGTAAGAATTAAACTGTTCCTCCTTATGACCAAAGGTCCACTTGGGTCATACCAGCCTGTTTTTCTGTGTAGGATGAGATGGGGAGTCTGAGGTCCTACAAGAATTTCTAAAGTACAACTCCCAGCAAGGAATTAAAGGCTTGGAAAAATGGAAGTTGTACTGTAGCCACATCTGGAGGGCCAGAGGCTCCCTGCATTGGCTTGATGATCATCAGTGGCTGTGCTGTCACACCACACTAAGCCATGGTTAAGGAATCTGTAACTTCCATCCTGTAAGCTGACTAGAATCTGATGAGTAATGTATAACATAAATACCCTATGCCTGTGCTTAGAAAGAATTAACAATCACAATTACAATTTTGAAATTCTGTCTGTATTACTACTAGGAACCGGGGAGGAATTCTACCGGTTCGGACTGGTTCTATAGAACTGGTTGTTATGATTCTGCACAGTTCAGAGAACCGGAGAATCGTGCCCCTGGCTGGCCCCGCCCCTCTCTGCCCACCCCTCCCCTCCCCTCCCAGTCAGTCCTTATCGCGCATGCGCGACATTGCTGAATGCATTCTCCCCCGCCCAGTCACTTCTTAAGGTATTTATTTTCCCCTCCCAACGATCGGCTGTTCTGACAATCAGCCAGGATCCTCCTCGCTGTCTTACTGCTTTGCCCAGGAGGCTTCCCTGAGGCGCAGGAGACCCAAAAATGGAGCATGGAGGGGTCCAGTGAGTCTCCCCCAGGCTCTGTTTTCTGGGAGTAAAAACTCCCCCCCCTGAAGCTTCCCTGAGGCCCAGGAGGCAAAAATTGGGGGGGGGGGGGTGCTGCAAAAAGAAGCCACACCCACCCAGTCACCTGGTCACACCTGGCCACGCCCAACAGAACCGGTCGTTAAAAAATTTGAATCCCACCCCTGCTAGGAACTATTGAGATAAAAAGGTGTACTTTCTTGTTTTCCAGCCGTGCCAATTTTTAAGAAGTGTGGACCTCATTTCCCAGAATTCCCCAGCCAGCATGCCAATCCCCTTGGAACTGGCTCCTGCTAGTACCTGTATCCATTCCCGCTCCAGCAGTCCCTGGAAGCCGACCAGTGTCCTGCAGGCTGGATCCAGGATGACTTGGGCAAGAGCTGTCACCAACAAGGTAGCATCTTTCCCTTCAGCTCCATGCACCAGGACGCAAGCCTCCTCTCTGGAGCAAGACACAGAGCTTCCGGTGACATGACAGTCTCCCTGACATGAGCCCACCCCAAAAGGTTGAGGTGCAGAGGGGACTTGCCCAAGCCGCTCCTCTCCAGACCCTGCCTGGAGGAAGGACCAAATGCAATACTACCTTTCCAGGCACTGGGCTGCCAGGCAGGCAGCATTCAAGGCTTCCTTGACATGGGACAACCACTTGGAGGCTTCCAGCCTGCTCAGCCAGCGGTCCATGTGGGGAGAAAGGTCATTGCAGGCTTCTACCAGTTTGATGAAGCTTTCCTGGAGGGAGCGACCCCTGAGACATGGGGAGGGAGGAGAAAAAGAAGGAGAAGGGAGAACTGACTTGGTCAGAGGGTTCAACAGCTCACAGTCAGGGCTACAGAAAGTGAGTGACAGTTAATAGGGGAGGCAAGTTTGGGCTGAAAAACAGCTTCTATCCCAGGGCAGCAGCTCTGTTGAATTCTACTGTATAGTGCAGTGTTGGCGTGGTGGTGGGGTTTTTCAATTCAATGTGTGGAGTGTGAAGGATGTGTGTTAGGTATAACATAGGTCATCTAACGTAGTTTGGGTAAACTAATATATATAAACTATCATTCTAAGTTTAAGTGTATGTCACTTTAACTGCAAAGCATGTAATTTTGGGTGTGGTGTGAAACCACCATAAGAGGGAGCAAGACAACCTGATTGATTGCTGACGATTCCCTGATGCTTTGCTGGCAATTACTGACAATTACTGGATTGGATTACGTTGATGTTTGTTAGCTGCGTCTTTTTGACTACTGAAGAGTTGCTGAAGGAAGAGAGGAGTTTTTGAGTTTTGCATATCTCTCTACTGCGAGGAGATATATCACCGGACTGACATTTGTAAGTGTACTGACCTCTCTTTTCGACACTGGAATTTGCAAATGAATAATCCCTGGACGGACTGAACTAAGTGAATGATATATGGACTGTTTTGACTATGTTTTAACTCTTGCCGGAATAAAACTATTTAATTAGCACTGTGCCTCTGTTTACTGAGTGTAAGCTACAAAAACACTTATCTCATGTATTTTGCCTGCCTGCCTGACTGCCCTGCAGATCTTGCTAGGGTATATCCCTAATTCTACTGTATAGTGCAGTGGTGGTGTGGTGGTGGGGTTTTTCAATTCAATGTGTGGAGTGTGAAGGATGTGTGTTTGTGTTTATTTTCAGGGTCATGATGTGCACTGAAGATGGTGTTTGATTTTATTGTACGAGGTGCAATGACAATAAAGTAAAGTAAAGTTTAAACTTTAGTTTAAACCAGTTGATCACCTGGAGAATACATAGTCAGGTTGTTACAAGTATGAGTTAGAGCAGGGATCTTCAAGCTTGGCAAGTTTAAGACTTGTGGACTTCAAGTCCCAGAATTTCTCCTCCAGTCATGTTAGCTGAGGAATTCTGGGAATTGAAGTCCACAAGTCTTAAACTTGCCAAGTTTGAAGACCCCTGAGTTAGAGCAAGGTTATCCAAACTTAGGAACTTTACTTTGGGCTTCCAAGATTCCCCAGCTGGGAGCTGAAGTCCGCAGATCTTGAAGTTCCCAAGGTTGGACACACAATGAATTTTAATCTTTTTCCCAGGCTGTCACTTAATTTTTTTAAAAAGTGTTTGTTTTATGGAATACTCCTTTCACTTTAAGCAACCTGCAAAGAGCAGTGATTGGGAGTTATCAGGCTGGTTTCTTCCATAGCTTCTCTAACAATGGAGGAAAATCCCATAATTAATCAGGGACAGTGCGAAATATTTTGTTAACCTAATGCCCTCCAGATATGTTGGTCTACAATTCACACTGTTTCTGGGAGATTTCAGGGCTGATGGAGAAACATATTATTCAATCATTCTTAGCCAAGATTGCAAAAAATCTAACCTAAGCACCAGTCTTTCACAGCTCATCCTTGACTTAATTGGGGAAGGGATCATATTTTTAGGCTGGTTCACCTGCTTAGTTTAGTTTACTTTATTGTCATTGCACCTTGTACAATGAAATCAAACACCATCTTCAGTGTACATCATGATTCATGACTATGAAAATAAACACAAACACACATCCTTCACCCTTCATACACTGAACTGAAACCCCCCGACACCACACCAACACTGCACGATACAGTAGAATTCAACAGAGCTTCTGCCCTGGGATAGAAGCTGGTTTTCAGCCTATTTGTCCGAGAATGTTTTGAACTTTCTTAAGGCAGCAGGAGGTCGGCTCTGATCCCCTTCATGGGCTGCAGCTGGGAGGACTGATTAAAAGGACAAACTGCGCATGACAAAGTTGCTGGAAGCAAAGTGTACATTATTCTTGTCAGAGCTTATCTGTGTTTTGGCTTCCTCCCAACTGTGGTTGCTGAGTTATCTGATAGAAGTCTGCAATTAATCATCCTTGCCTGCTGTAGTAATTCCTTCAGTGTGGTGTGTTAGTTTTTTTAAATATAAAATTAACTTTACTTTGGGTGCAGACTGCATTTACTCCCTCTGTAAACTATTTTCCTTAAGAGTTTGATATCCTGCCAAGGATAATTGGACATTGGGACTTTCTTCTATTTTTGTGATTTGGTTATTTTTGTGTTACGACCCGGGTCATCACATTTCCTTTTAATACCTTTCCATCAGGGACAGTTAGGGCACAAATAGATAAACGGGACTTACCTCTCTAACGCTCGGTGCAGCCTCTTCCAGCCGGGGTAGCAGCTTCGGTGCTCCAGGCCTCCCCCCATCACCCGGGCCTGCTTTGCAGCCTGCAGCGACCTGGTGTCCAGGATGAAGCCCCGTTCCCCACCTTCCAGGACAGCAGCCAAGAGCAGCTCATCCTCATGGCAGCGTTTCCGGTTGGGCCCCACAAGGGGCTGGCTGCTGCGAAGCATTGCCTGTATGAATAAAGGAGAGAGAGAGAGATAGGAAGAGAGACTCCTGTGAAGGAGGTGCAAACGGATCCATTTGGGGTTCTCCCAATGTCACCTTGTGATCATTGGTCAAGTACACCTCCTTAAGCTTGATTTTAAAAAAAAGCTCATCCTGAAAAGGAATGTGTTTTTGGATATGCTTTCCTTAAAACAGGGGTCCTCAAACATGGCCACCTTAAGACTTGTGGACTTCAACTCCCAGAATTCTCCAGCCAGCTATGCTGGCTGGAGAATTCTGGGAGTTGAATTCCACAAGTCTTAAAGTGGCCAAGTTTGGGATTCTGGGAGTTGAAGTCCACAAGTCTTAAAGTGGCCAAGTTTGGGATTCTGGGAGTTGAAGTCCACAAGTCTTAAAGTGGCCAAGTTTGGAGACCTCTGCCTTAAAATGTAAGCATTTTTGTTCATAAGTCTGATTCATATCCAGTTTTTGCAAACCATTTTTCTATTTTATAGCATTTCATACAGCTTTTGGTTTTTTAAAGTGGACTTGTTTTGGTTATATATTTTCTAAAATGACAATATTGATGACCTGTGTTGCAAAATTTGGAGAACTATGAAATTTTGAATAATAGCTATGTTTCTGCATATTTGTCTGAAAAAGCAAAATTCTGAAAGTTCCCCTTTTGGGGCAAACAAAACACATTTCTACATTCTTGTGCTCTTGTGTTTATTAATGACCGTGATAAAGTCATTTCTTTTTGAATTCCCGATTCTTAAGCAGTGCTTAGTCTGTTTTTTTTCCTGTTGTCTGGTTGGTGATGCTCAAATTCCTTCTGAGGCAGTTAGTGAAGATGAAGAAGGGTCTGGAGGTGAAACTACCTTAAAACGGTTAAGGGAGCTAGGTCTGTCTAGCCTACCAAAGAGAAGGTTTAGGGGTGATATGATAGTCTTCCAATGCTCGAAGAGCTGTCGCAGAGGAGAGAGGGTTGACCTATTCTCCAAAGCACCAGAGGACAGGACAAGAATTAATGGATGAAAGACCATCAAAGAGAGATCCAACCTAGAACTAAGGAGAAATTTCCTGTCAGTGAGAACTATTAATCAATTAGAACAGCTTGCCTGTGGAAGTTATGGGTGCTCCGTCACTTGATGTTTTCAAAAAAGGTTGGGTAGCCATTTGTCTGGAATGGTAGAGGGTCTCCTACTTGGGCTAGAAGACCTCCAAACTTCCTTGCAATCCTATTATTCTATTTCTATGAAATAATTCCGTACAGATTGGTGAGGGTGACTCAGGTTTGCTTAGAGTATTTGTTGGGCGGGCCAAAGCTGGCTGGTTCAGTTCCCAGCATCTTCTGGTACAGATGAGGAAGGTGGCCACTGGGGGTCATCTCTGTCTTCTATCTATCTATCTATCTATCTATCTATCTATCTATCTATCTATCT